CTGACACATTAAATAGTGTACAGTACAACACATATTTAAATTATCTGACACATTAAATACAGTCCAAAATATATCTGTCCACTTTCCACAACACATATCTAAATTATCTGACACATTAAATACAGTCCAAAATATATCTGTCCACTTTCCACAACACATATCTAAATTATCTGACACATTAAATACAGTCCAAAATATATCTGTCCACTTTCCACAATACATATCTAAATTATCTGACACATATACATATTTAAGTCTTCTAACACATTAACTACAGTTCATGATACCTCTGTATACTTTTATCAACACATATTTAGATTATCTGATATATCAAAACATCTGTAATAATGTCAATTAATGTAATATCACATACAACTTTCCAAGGATTATCAGAATGTATCTCGACATTTCTCACATGTTTAGTACTTACATGACTGTGTTATCATATAGTATGTTTCACTTTAATATTGATAAAAATCAACAACTAAACTTATAAGGAACTCAAACCTGTAATCATTAATATTCATACCATTAAAAAAAAAAGCTACAAAACGGGCTAGTTTACATTTATCCAAAATTTGCAGTACTACTGAATTTTGAGATGTTAATAATTTTTTGGTAAATTTAAATTGATTGAAGTCAGTCTTATTAAACCTGTTATCTACTTATACCTTAAAATATAGATTTTTGGAAAAGTTGTAAGTAAACTTACTTCTACTAGATTCTCTGGATTCAAGCCTGCAATAATATATACAGTTAAACATTAAGGAAAATCTTATAGTGAAAGTAAACCATAGATATGCATTTTGCAAATGCAATATAAAAACTTTCAGATGGCCAAAGGTATTTTTATTCTTCACATGAACACCATCTTGTACTGATGTCATCAATTCGTGCACATCTCTTGGATATAAATACTTTTGTAACACATCTGATTTTTTGTGTACAACAGACTTGTACATTTGGAATTATAGTCAACATTTCTTCTCCAATACAAGGTCAGTCCAATGGAACAACCTCATGCACATTCAGTTAAGTAAATAAACAGTGGAATGCCTTCTATAAGACTACCTTCGGGAATCTTAATAAAATGATGGTTAGATTGTGAACAAAAGTTGCTTCCTCTATCGTCATCTACAATATCAGTCTCTTTCTATGATAAATAAACAGTGGAATGCCTTCTATAAGACTACCTTCGGGACTCTTAATAAAATGATGGTTAGATTGTGAACAAAAGTTGCTTCCTCTATCGTCATCTACAATATCAGTCTCTTTCTATGATATAATGTTTATTAATTATTACCTTTAATAAAATCCATTTATAATATTTGTGATTAGATTTGGTCCTAAATACCAATCCTATCATTGTGTACAATAATCAAACTATTTACCCAAATTTTATCTTCATAATTTTGTGGTAACAGATGTTTTCCTGTTTATCAAATAAAATTTATTAATGATCTGTTTATCAAATAAAAACTTTGTAATGATCTGTTTATCAAATAAAAACTTAGTAACGTTCTGTTTATAAAATAAAAACTTAATAACGATCTGTTTATCAAATAAAAACTTAGTAACTATCTGTTTATCAAATAAAAACTTAGTAAAGATCTGTTTATCAAATAAATATTTAGTAATGATCTGTTTATCAAATAAAAACTTAGTAACAATGTTCTGTTTATCAAATAAAAACTTAGTAACAATTTGTTTATCAAATAAAAACTTAGTAACAATGTTTATCAAATAAAAACTTCGTAACAATGTTTATCAAATAAAAACTTAGTAACAATTTGTTTATCAAATAAAAACTTAGTAACAATTTGTTTATCAAATAAAAACTTAGTAACAAATTTGTTTATCAAATAAAAACTTAGTAACAATTTGTTTATACAAATAAAAACTTAGTAACAATTTGTTTATACAAATAAAA